ACATTTTGTTTCATAATGTTCCTTTTTTCAGCATAGGGCAACAAGTATAACAAACAGGCAAACTGACATGTGACCAATATCCTGTGCTCTGTTTGCGCTAATGGGATTTTATAGGACGGAAAAGAGAAGCGTGATGGCCAGAAAGAGAGAAAAAAAAAAACGTTTTGTTACAGTGAATGTACAATAACCCTGTGACGGATGGACAATCCATCCATGATGTGCTCCGCTTCCCATTCAGTGGCGACTGGGATCAGTTCCAGCTTCTCCCAGTGACCCTGAGTGAATCCTCCCTCTATTTCTCCATTTAAGCCCTGTTTCTTGATGTACATGAGAAATTGTTCTTGAAATTAACTTGTGTTTTTTCCTTTTTCTCAGCTATCTCTAGGCTGCTGTTGTGTTTTTTTTTCCTTCTTGTTTCTATTTCATTCCCTGGCCAGTTGCTCGAGGGCTCAGGGCTGCCCCTTCCTGGTTTTGTTGCTGATAAAGATTTCCTCTTATTAAATAGGAGTTTTTACTTCCCACAGGCGCCTCATGTACCCCCAGGATGGGGGATTGGATTGAGGAGAAAATTAAGTGCAATCTGCAAGTTTCCTTATCTAGAAACTTTTTTCGAAATTGCTCTGTATAAATTGGACGATTTTTTAATTTAAATTAATGTGAACATATTTGATTTTGATTGTGTTACAATTGAACTGATTGTAGCTGCTTTGAATTGAAATGTCGAAGTGGGAAGTGATGACATTTGTTGTGATGATGCTATATAATTGAACTGAATTAGATTAACGGGGTTTACAATATGGATGGAATGTGCTGTATAGCAGGGGTGGCATCTTTCACTTGCTCATACAGGTCATAATAACAGAATAGTCAACATACTGTAATTCAAACCCTTTGAGGTAACATACCAGAGAATATCAACTGAATGACTAAGTGTTATAAAGAACAGGCTGTGGAAGAAACAGCCTACCATACTTTTCGACATGATATGTTTGTGTGTAACGGTTGCATAAGACAGCTGCCACACAGTCATCAGACACAGACATCTTAGGGGTGCTAAGTTTTAACTATAAATGAGAAATTGGGTCATTTTTAGCACAGCAAATAACTTAACCTAACCTGGTCTAATCTGTTGTTGGAAATTTAGACTGAAATAAAGTTAGCATGGTTTAAACGGTCATAACATGATAAGGACACATAGTCTGAAATAAATCCCAAGGGAACCAAATCAAATGTCATGCTTACTGGGTTTATTTTATGTAACTTTAAAATGAACCAGTATCTGTAACACTGCACTGAAACAAGTTCTGGCTCGATAGGGAACCATTGATGTGAGACCAACATGGGGAAAGCAATTGCTGGGACACAGTGTTCAAGCACTCAGTGAATGTTATAATGAGCATAACAGTGACACAAACTGTATGCAACGACCTTTTCTGCGACTGCTTTTTAACCCTGTTAAAGTTAATAAATAAAATACTTTTTTTAAAAATTCTTAGTCATAAATATATTCTGAGCTTGTGTTCACATCCTTTTTTTCCTGTTCTTTATCCAGAATTGTCGATAAACAAGACTTGAATCGCCTCGGGTCACAAAAAATTGGAGGGATGTTGAAAAGACAAATGCATTTTTCTTTCAGTAACAGTGACTGAATATTTGTCTACAACTAATTCGTACCAAAATTGTTGCCAGAATGAAGTGTACTTCTAAATATACTGGTCAAACGACTGCACCACAACAACATCCTTGTTCGAGTTCTGAATTGTATCCTCAAAAAGCACCGATTGTGTTAAAGAAAGGGACCTTTCATATCAATTCATATTGCACACACACACACACTAGATAAAACTCATCACATGTCTTCAATAGGAGCTCACACAGAAACCAACAAACAAGCAATTTGGACAGGGGCTGGGGATTTCATGTGACTGTGTACAGTCTTGTACGCAGTCGAACACAAACACAACACTGCAGTTACTCCACTAACATTTTCCACTACTGTCTCCACATGTTCCCTCTGCTGAGCTGTGCCCATTCAAGGGTCCTTTAATGGACCTCTGCAGGCAGCTTGTCAGAGAGGGTAACTGAGTCAGCCACTGCTAAACTTCAGCCAGCATCCTTATCTTGGTTCCTGCTATGATTCACAAGGCTTAAAAAAAACAACAACTAAACAGCCAGCACGGATTCACTCAGTCAAAACTAAACACGTCATTCCGAAAGTGATTCACTAATTGGAACCTTCTTCTGTGGGCGTTGCAGCTTTTTCTTTCAAATATAAGCTTATCCTTTAAAATTTGTCATCTAAGGATTAAACCAATTACGCTGGCTGAAACTAATTAAACATGCTCTGATTGAATAAGACAGTTTGCATTTGCGTGTGAACAGAAATTCCATTGGCTGTGGTTAAGAATCTTTACAAATATAGAGATGTAATGCACCGTGAATACTGCCAGAGGACAAAATCATAGTGCTTTTTTTTTTTTTTTGACTCTGTGATAAGAAAGCCATGATTATTAAAACGATGGTACAAACATTGAACTAGTTGTTAAAAGGCAACATGTTCAATAAAAGAATAAAAGGATTTAATGTAGGTCTTATCTCTACTTTTGGATGCTCTAACTGGGCTTGGCCAGAATCTTTTATTGTGATTAAAGAACACAGAACAGTGTTTTTCTGTCCTGGTCCACATTATTTATCTCAAACACACCCAACTAAATACACAGATCTCCATCTTTGTAGATCTAAGTTTTAGATCTAAGATAAGCCTTTAATTTTAGTGAAGTGTGTCAGACCTTTTTGACACCCAATATGAGAAAGTGAAAGTGTATTGAAAGTTAGGAATGCGAAAAAACTAAAATAGACCAAGAAGATGTGATCAAAAATAGCACAACACACTCTATGAGGCACTACAGCTCTCTGCAACGTGGCTAATGGAATGCCTGACCTTTCAGCTGAAAACACCCACTCAGCTGCTTAAACACCAAACTATATCAGCAAACAGTAATACCAATTACCTGTGATAATAGCGTCTTTTTTCCCCATTTTCTTCCAGTTAGAAGATTAAAACAATGGAGGATGCCATCAGTATAATAGGCATTAAATACAACTATAGCTGAAAAAGTTTGAAAGGCAACGTTGGTATTGGTACACAGAAAGATAAAAACAAGTACACTGTCATTGAAAATATTGTCCCTATACACATGACCAAAGTCTGTTCTCCTTTCCTCCTCTAAAGACAGACACTGCTAATGTCTCGCTTTTAATATAGCCCAAAAAACCTGCTGACATGTTCCAAATAAGGATTGGATATCACTTACTCCTATTAAGTATGTAATCACCTCCAATTAGAGCTACAAAATGTGTGACATCATGAGATTGAAACAAATGTGATTGGTGGTCATTTCAAACTGAAACGTCACGTTGGATAATTGACTTAATCTCTTTTTTTATTCGGACAGATACTCTTTTAAAAATAAATACAGAACATTAAAAAAAAACTCAGCCATCAAGATGATGCATGATTCAGTCATTAAATTTTCTGCTTTGTTGAGCATACCTTCTAGCATTAGCGTTACAGTAACCACCTATGACAATGTGGTCAGTATTTTTATTACCTGTCATCTGACATCCACTTGGACAACATGAGGTGGATTCGGTTCTGCTTATATTTCTTTACCTTTATCAGGAAATTGCAAAATCAGCCTTGGCTTTTTATCATACTCTGGAACCGATGTCATATTTACAGTGAGTACCACATGTCATTTTAGTACAATAAAAAATATAAACATATTGATACAACAGAAATACTGTGAGTCGTGGTAAATGGGGACGAGGCATAAAGTCAACCTCCTAAACTCCATAGTTGTTTTGCCCCACAGGAATGAACGAGAAACAAGAAAAAAAATAAAAATAATGAGAACTATAATACTAGGGATTTTTGTATGTAATAAGAGGAAAGGTCCAACAATTAGGGGACAGAGACTAAACAGTTAATGAGTGTTATAAGGGAGGCCATTTGCTATAGAATCCGTCAAATTTAGCTTTCACTGAATATCTGATCCTCTCCAAATTAAGAAAAGACACTGTGCCATTGAGCTACTAAGTGTTAGAGGGAGCTTCAACTGACTTTCAGTGAGGAAGGAAAAGGGATCTCGCCTGTAAGTAAGTAAATGCTAAACTGTCAAATTAATTTGAGCTAAACCGGTTTTGGTCTACTGAGAGCCCAAAAATGACGACATCAGGGGAAACTCGTAAGATCAATTGAATGTCAAAAGAAAAAAAAAAGAGGTGTAATGGGTAGTGTAGTCCAAAACGTATTCCTGATTTAAGCTTATTCTTGTCTTTTTTTCTGCTACTTGCAGCACTGGGCAAGAGGGGTAGTCACTATGGGGCAGGGACGTTAGGGAGGTTAGCTATTGGGATTGCAATGGTGGATCAACTTTTGGAGGCTTTTTGATCCGAAAAATCGAAGTTAAGATCAAGTTATGGTGATAGGGAAAAAATTAAACAAAAAAAAACTAAATGTGAGCCTAAAATAGATTTGTTAAGGTGGTTGCAGAAGCTCAGAGAGAGATGAATCTTCATCTTTGATAATAAAGCTAAAATATCATGTTGTTGGGTTGGTAACACAGATTAGATTTAGACAGATTAGGACTGCTGGCCAACAATATGTTTTTTTTTTCTTTTGTAATTTAATTTTGGGAAACCATCCGCTCATAACTGCTGAATGCCATCTTTCGGAAGCCTAATATTAAAGAGTGTAATATTCAAGCCTGAATATTGCGCTGTTAAAATTCAATTGGTTTTCATTTTTCGATGCGTGCCTGCTCACATGTCGAGGTTTCGAGAATGCGGGTTGCCTCTTTACTTCGGTATTAACTTTACTTTTTGTGTCTACACAGGCGTACTGCAGGGGTGTAAGTGGATCAAGCTTCTTTGCATCTCTGCAGGTATATTGTTGCTCGTGAATGTGTCTGTCAGTGTTGTGATGTCAACGTACGTACCGGCAGGACAGTCGCCTTCCGACATGATAAGGATTTCAGACTGCTGCTTGCAGGCATCCCTGCGGAGGAAACACTCATTCTGGTAGTTCTTATTGTTGGAGCCACACACTGGGGCATAGTCATTGTTGCACTGTGGGGATACAAGAGGGAAAAAAAAGGGAAGAGAATGGTGAGAAGGGAAACACAGAAACGGGAGGAAGTCAAATTGCAGTAATCTTGTAAAAAAGAGCGTGTTTAACTCGAAACTGCCGGACAGAACTGTCTGTTGGTTAAAAGCAAAACACAAGAGCAGCTTTGTCAGCTATAATTTAAAAGCGGAGGAAAAGATTCATAGCTAATACCTGTATTGGATGGAATTTGGCTCGAATTTAGACCTAACAGATCAGAAAACACTCTTAAATAATCAATTTAGTGAATTCCTGTTTAAAGATAGTGCTTTCACAGCGACTTAATGACTTGGGCTATAGAACAAAGACACGGAAAATGCATAATAAAAATCACCTATAACTGAAACAGCAAGCTTTCTTTAAAGGGACAAAGGTTGCTTAGTTCTGTGTAAATAAAAAAAAAGGTTTTGCTCATATGGTAGCTATTTTGCTTGGTAATATTTATAATTTTAGCCATATCCAGATGTAACTGCAATCTCTCAACTAGATGTGAAAGGACAGGTCATTTGCTCATAACTTTAGATATGACCCATAATGGCATCATAAAGTAATGTTCCTACAATCAGTAGAAGGAAAACGCAACTTAAACTTTTTTTTCCATGTCAAAAGTCACTCTCAAGTTTTTCCCTTTAAGGAAGCAGAGTCCTCATGAGGATAGAGATTGTTGGATGGTTTATATCATTCATGCATTCATTACACAAGCTCAAAACTATATGATAGCATCTCTTTCACATTACTTTTAATCAGTTAACATTATAACACTGTTCTGGAAGGTAAGACTGCTTTCTTCATAGGTTCTTGCACATTTTAAAGGCACATTTAGGGTTAGGGTTAGCCTGTTGAGATTTTGAAAGTTTAACAATACATTTAGGGCAAACTGCTTTTTGCAGAGGTTTCCTGCAACTTCTATCTTTAGGTAGTCGTGCTAGCTGTCTAAAATACACCATTTTCATACCTTTTAGTTTTATGCTGTAATGTTTTAAATCTGAAATAAATAGGTTCAAGATGCTTTGCACCCAGTGATCTTATGGGAACATTGCAAACACACATTTTAAAAACAAAGAATTTATTTTATTTTATATTTTTTAAACACCTCCTGTGCTATGGCAGAATCTAGTTATTAAACTTGAGAGCAAAACCCTTAGGTCTCAAAAGGTTAACAGCACAATACGTTTGTCTCTGTGTGGTTATGTTCAGTTAAGTACAGTAATTGGTTGAGGTTAGGAAACAATTGTTAGCCATCAAACACATTTTCTTTACATGTCAACCGGAGCCATCACCTTAATGGGTGCCATTTTTGCAATTAGATATTGCATTTAGTGCATTGGCCCTCCAATGAAGATGCATTTGGGTACAACCTGAACCCTAAGCTTGCTTCAAATAGGGCCATCAGTGTATGTCTAAAAAGAACAGGAATTAAGGTTGAAAAGGCATTACACAACTATCTGCCATTTACAAGTTGGAACAATCACTCTGCAGTTGTTGATGTAGCCTCATTGCAAGATTTAAAGTCTAATGTTTGTCTGCGTCAAAGCAGTCTCAATTCTCTACCACCCAGGATGGGAGGAAACAGCTGTGTGAATGAGCAGAAGTAGATAAATGTATTCAGAAGACTAGCCCTATAAACCAGATCAAATATCTGAATATTTAATGCTCTGCATTAAATCTGGCATATGTTTCCTGTTTGTTTGGTCATGACCTTCAAACATGTACTGTTTGGAAGTGTTACATGTTCAAATATTTGGTGAAATAAAAATGAATGATGAAATTAATTCTTAAAAAGGATGATTTGCTCAGTTGCCATTAAGATGCTAAGCAAATCTGAAGCTTTTTATCCGTTTTGAAGGCCACTAAAAAACAAAGGCAATCCAGACACCAAGAAAGGGAAAAAAGAAATACCCCGGGATATTAAATCCGTTCCAGGAAAATGCTGGTCAGCAATGTGGGGGTCTTGCTTGCTGGAACAGACTAGAAACAGTTTGTTTACCATGTCCTGATCATCTTTGCAAGGTCAGTCACTGAATATATGTGAAGATATCAGTCATCCAGGTCATGGTCAAGCTTGGAAAGTTCAGTTAGGCTACTGGACTTGAAGTTTTTTAGAAGATGTTTTGCCTCTCATGTGCGAAGTAAGGAAGACAGATGGTTTGAGAGAGGGGTTAAGGAAGCCATCTTTGTTAACCTGGAGAAACCATCACTCAACAGAGGAGGTGGTCTTAGACACAACCTGTCACCTACTTACAGGGCATTTTTAGGAACAATACCCAGAAGATTCACCCCTAACCTGACTCACGACGGAGTTAACTACCCATCAGAACCCCATAATGACCATTAACACTCCCCCAGGTGACCTCCATGGCCCTTCCAGTAGGAGGGATCAGAACCACCTTTTGTTTTGTTTTTCCCCCTAATTCTTTTGTTACACCTACAGAATATCAATCTCAGTGCTCCCACCATCAGTTAGAACTGATGGAGCCTCTTGGATCAGAGGCAAAACGTCTTCAAGAAAAATTCACGTCCAGTTGCATAACTGAACTTTACAACTCGGTCACTAAAAACACTTCATTTAACAGGCAGAAACCAACTCCATGGAGAGTGTAAACTTTTTTGTGCATAATTTCAAATCTGCAATAGCAATGGAAAACCAGGAAATTATTACACAGATATGAAAATATCTGAAAGAAGGAGAAAGAGGATGATTGCTCGAAAGATGTTCATATTTAAATTGCTCATGTGTGGTTAAGTTTATGTAGAGACTTAGACTTAGACAGTACTTTATTGATCCCTTGGGAAGACTCCCTCAGGAAATTAAGGTTACCAGCAGCTTAAAGGGCAAAAAGTATCAAGTTAGAATTAAATTAAGCAGAAAAATACAAATAAATAAATAAAAATACAAAAAATACAGATTGAGGATGGACACAAATGCAGCCTGAAGTGACCCGAATCCAACTTTTTTTGGCCAAATGCCAATCTGATGTTTACATGAAGGTATGAACAACTCAGATTGGATTTTTACAAATGCAACCCAGGCCACTTGGGTATGTTGTCCTAAATCCGATACGAATCCCATATTTTCCAATGCAACTGGTGTCTGTGCAGCCAGGTCGCATTCATCCGACCTGCACATCAATGATTCTCGACAAACGCCACTATTGTGCATTCTGCTACGCAAGAGAAAAACAACAACCATAGTGGATGATAATGCGGACAACAGAAAGAGTAGCTTACAAGTTATTTAGTTTTTGGGGGATTGCTCTATCCAGGCCAAACTCAAGGTTTTTTTTAATCAGAAAAGGGCTTATTTGTTAGCATTTCCCAAGATATGGCTGAGCGTGGGTATAAAACGTCCCTGGATAGCCAAAATAAAGGTCAAATATAAGGAGACTAAAGACTCAAATAAACAAAGTGGCTGTGGTTGCGTCACCTGTCCATTTCATGGAGAGCTGGAACGCAAACACTGAGCACTTTCGCTACGTTTGATGTTGTTGCTTCCTCTACTACGCATGTTCACAATAGATATATGTGAGTCGCATATATTTGGAAACGACTATGCCCAAAAAGTCGGATTTCACAAAAACAAAACGGATTTGGGTCACTTCAGGCAGTGTGAAGGTAGCCTAGAAGTATAAGATATGATAATAGTGGCCATAGAAGTGTAATAAAAATGGCCAAAATAAGCCAAGTGATGTGAGTGGCATCCAATCATCCGTTCTCTACGTTTACCTGATCTGATTTTCATTTTTTTGATGACTCAAACTGGATTCAGTATTGTTACTCCATGTACACCTAAACAAATGAGTGTGTTCAATCACTTCACTGAAACTACACATTTGGTAACAAGCAGGAGTTATATTTCCAGTTTTATTCAAGAGAAATTATTTCTTAAGGATCCTCAGGAAGCTAAATGGATCATCCCTTCAGTTTTTAGACAGGAGTGAGGCCAGAGAGCTTTCAGTCTCTAATGAATTGACTCAGAATCTTTCTCCATGGGCATAAACACTTAAACTCACTCTGTTTTCATTTAGACTTTGGTACGTCACCAGCAAATATTTTAATGGTCATGTTCATAATACATAGTGTTAAAGAATGACGTGAAAATACCGTCTCCTGCTGCTCTCCTCTTGTTGCTCCACTGGAGCGGTAGGAGGTTAAGTGATTTGCTCAAGGGTACTCAGAAAATACCAGTTAGGTACAGAAGAACATTACTCATTCATATGCCCATATGGTTTGTTGGCTACAGGGTAAGTCAAGATTTATCAGATCAAAGATGGCACTTGAGGATTAAATCTTAGTAGTTTGGGGGTGGGGGTGAGTAGTTCCTTATTGATTTCCCACTGATATAGTGCAGGTATAAAACATGTGTTTATTAATTTATTCATGAGTTTAGGAAAAATAAGTGACCCAAAGAGGCTGGGGAGAAATTGCCTCTTTGTATACAGAGCACATAAACTGTTAACATTTAAAGGGTGGTCACCTAGGGGGGGATATGAAGGGTTGTTCTTTATTCTCACTTCTTTCCTCCTTTCAATCTCTAATGAACTGACTGGAAATCCTTTCTCTTAAATTATCTTCCGTTGCACTGGAGTGATACTGTACCCAATAAATCTGACATTAACAGATGTGTTTGTGCAGATGGCATGATAAGAATGTTATAAATAAATCTTGAGATAATTAAAAAGCAAAAAAAAAACAAAAGAAAACACTCCCACTGAAAAAGAAAAATCCTTGAAGACTTGTTTTCATTTAGACTATGAGCACTTGGTCAAGCCGAGTTTGGCAAATGGAGAAGACACCACATAAAAGAACCTAAACCTGCAAAACTGTGAATGTTGACAAAAACATACCTTGAAAAAGGACCAAAAAAACTAAAACTTATTATGTTTAGAGCACACTGACTTAATCTTTTACCACCTTTCCAACCTCTAAATGTTAGTTTGTTTGTAACATGGTAAAAATCCAAGTA